CTCTGTCAGTAACGCCACACCGTGGACATGTCAGTGACTACATCCTTCAGGCACGTGTTGCCTTCTGCCCTGCGTGCAAAAGTGAAAAAGTGTTGGTGCTTGTTCTACCGCCCAAATTACACCCCGTTATCCTGCCGCTGAAGTGGCCGTTACCGAGCAGCGCTATGGTAGCTGCCTGCCGTGACGTGACTGTCACCCTGCCGCCGACGTCGTGACTGTTACCCTGCCGCTGGACGTGGCTGTTACACTGCGTTCCGTTAGTGTGACTGTTTCCTGCGACTGACGTGATTTGCCCGTCGACTGGTGTGTGACTGCTACCCTGCCGCTGAGTGACTGTAACCCTCCCGTTAGTGTGATGTTCCCCTGCGACTGAGTGACTGTACCCGCCGTTAGTGTGACTGTTCCCCTGCGACTGACGGACTTTTGCCCTGTCGCTGACGTGACTACCCTGCCGCTGACGTGACTGTTCCCCTGCCGCTGACGTGGCTGTTACCCTGCCGTTGACGTGATGCTACTGTGACTGACGGGACTGTTCCCCTGCCGCTGACGTCTGTTATCCTGCCGCTGACGTGGACTTACCTGCCGCTGACGTGGCTGTTACCCTGCCGCTGACGTGGTTATTACCCTGCCGCTACGTGACTGCTACCTGCCGCTGACGTGACTGTACCCTGCCGCTGACGTCGTAAACTGTACCCTGCCGCTGACGTGGCTGTATATTCTGCCACTGACATGTATTACCCCGCCGCTGACGTGACTTACCTGCCGCTGACGTGACTGTTACCCTTCCGTGGCGTGACTGTTCCTGCCGCTGACGTGACTGTAACCCTGCCATTGACATGGCTGTTACCTTGTCACTGACGTGGCTGTCACTCTGCCACTGACGTGTCTATTACCCCGCCGCTGACGTGACTGTTATCTTGCCGCTGACATAACTGCTACCCTGCCGCTGACATGACTGCTACCCTGCCGCTGACGTGACTGTTACCCTGCCGCTGGCGTGACTGTAATCCTGCCGCTGACGTGACTGTAACCCTGCCATTGACGTGGCTGTTACCTTGTCACTGACGTGGCTATCACTCTGCCGCTGACGTGTCTATTACCCCGCCGCTGACGTGACTGTTATCTGCCGCTGACGTAACTGATACCCTGCCGCTGACGTGACTGTTACCCTGCCACTGACGTGACTGTTACCATACCGCTGACGTGACTGTTACCTTGCCGCTGACGTGACTGCTACCCTACCGTTAGTGTGACTGCTACCATGCGAATGACGTGGTTTTTGCCCTGTCACTGACGTGACTGTTGCCCTGCCGCTGAAATGACTGCTACCCTGCCACTGACTTGACTGTTACCCTGCCACTGACGTGACTGTTACCCTGCCGCTGACGTGACTGTTACCCTGCCGCTGACGTGACTGTTACCCTGCCGCTGGCGTGACTGTTGCCCTGTCACTGACGTGACTGTTACCCTGCCGCTGACGTGACTTACTCTGCCGCTGACGTGACTTTTACCCTGCCGCTGACGTGACTGTTACCCTGCCGCTGACGTAGTTGGTACCCGGGCAGGTGATTGCACACGACGAGGACGCCGGCGCGAACGCCGAGCTGCGCTACTCGATCGTGTCGACGGACGGCCTGCGTCTGACCATCGAGCCGCGGCTGGGCCAGCTGCGGCTGCCGACGGACGGGGCGCCCATCGCCGCCGGCAAACACCAGCTGACCGTGAGTTATGGACGGCTAGTGGCCGGCAACCGGCAGGGCCGACCGGCCAGGGGGCGTTGCACTGTGCGATGAGCGACTGGACGCCGAGCGATTACAGCGCCTGTCAGCCTAGCTGGCCGCCCAGTTTATAGCGACAGCTGCGCTCTGCACTGCAGGTCACACCACGCTGTGCAGTGCACGCTCACCGACCGTAAGTGCGTCCGTTTGCGACAGCTTGCATTTGAGGGACTAACAACAGATCGTCGAGCAGTGTCCATGGCTTGTTGTGGACCTGGATGGTGGTGCTGTTATTGCTGTGTAACGGCCCGGGTGAGTGTCATGGGAAAACGTTTTGTTGACAATCCACAGCCTTCTAAGTTAGCGCCGCTGTATAGTGTAATTGCCTTGTTCTGTGGAGCATTGTTCCTGCTGTGTTTTCGCGGCTTGCAGGCCAGACGCAGCATCACTCCTCGTTAGCCGTTGTTACTTGACTCATATCTAAAAAGTATGCATCAAATTGAAGTCACGTGCATGATACTAGTTCTGCTAGATCCATTGCTGATCTCAGGAGACCCGGACGCAGTGATGCTTTCAGGACTTCAACTAATTGCAACGTGTGCGAGAACAACGAACTTAGTTTCCGCTGGGGACGAAAGTTATTGATGAGCTGCTGTGGTTGACTGCAGGAGAAATCTGCAGAATGCTCAGGTTGAATTCGAACATAACGAACAGTATGCAATAAAGTATGCTACCATATACTGCACGACATTTTTAACCATGTATAGCGTTAGGGCCACCATTCGATAGCTTAAATCCTTACGTTCCAGTATTCCCTTGTCTGCAAAAAGCAAAGAGAATGTTCGTTTCCACCGAAATTAAAGTCAACATTACGTTGCCCGTACTTGAATGCGGAGAAATAATGCGCAGCTTTTTAAGTTGAAATTTAAGCGTAACGACTAATAAATGATGAAAGTAATTACACGCAGCGCACCACATTTCGGTCATGCATTTGTCGCTAGGCCATGCGGCGTTTGAATCCTTATTCAATGGCTTTTTTGTTCCAGCATTCCTTTGCTCGCAAAGAAAAGTATGGTCCTGACGTAAGCGCCGCAACGAGACGGAAATTACGACCAGACTCGCTGTTCCCATTCCAGTGGCTTCCCATTTCAGTGTCATACGTATATTTTGAATGAGGAAAACGCACTGCACAAAGGGAAATGCATCTGAATTTGAACTTATTTTCTTTGGGGTGTGGCGGTGGTGCTGCGGGCAGTCTTCCTGGTGTTTCATGGCATTGTTGGTTGCATAAGAATTAGCACTGAAAGATGCCCCTGCTACCACATGTGAACACGTTAGCCTGTTGTAGTAACGCTGAGATCCCTTACTCTACCCAGGGAGGAAAATGCTAACCCTGGGCTTCCGCCTCTTTCCTGGGGAAGAATCAGGACAACAGTGAGCTGTTCATATCGAAACTTTGTTGCTGTTCTCGAACAGTTGTGCTACTTCGAGGGTTGAATTTTGACCCCCAATTCGGGTGCGTGTCAGCAGTGAGGCCCCGCTGACTCGGTTGAAAGCGATAAACGTGTCCGGCACTGAGGTCTCTTGTTGTTTCGAGGCGAAGACTGCGGTTCAAGAAGCACTATTAAGTCTGTATCTGTTGTGACCGCATGCAACTGTAATTAACAGTGATCGTTCACTCAGCGTCATCCCATTGGTTTCTCCCGTTACGGCTACATACGGTGGCGTGGTTACCGCTGAAGCCCCCGCTGTCCGCAAGCAGGGACAGCAGACGGTTGTTGGCACAGTCATAGTGTTTGGGCTGCGCTGGTTTGCGCGTCAAGGCGACAGACCACAGTCTGGGCAGCATCGAAGCTCGGCCATTGCCCCACCCAGGTCAGGGCAGTGGACAGCTGTGCTGTTACCAACCGAGCTCTCCCGTTGTCGCCAGATGACTGCGGCGCATTGTGGCCAGTTGCTCACGCTGAGCGCCACTTCTGTGTCCAGGTGCGGGTGACGGACGGCGGCAAGCCGGTGCGCTCGTCGGTGGTGCGGGTGCTGCTCACCGTGCTGGAGGAGGGGCCGCCGCCGCCCCACCCGCCCCGGGTGGACCTGCCTGAACGGGCCGTCCAGGTGTTCGAGACGGACCCGGTCGGCCACCTCGTCATCCTGGCCACTGCCAAC